CCGTGAATATGTCGAGGGAGGTGGTGGTGCGGCAGGGGTCGTTGCAGGTGACTTTGGACACTTTTTTCCTTTTGGCCATGGAGGCTGGCGGACGTGGGTGACGGCGTTGACCCCGTCGATCTCACTTCGGAGAAGTCATAGTTCGACGTAGCCGCGGGCAGGTTAGGAGGAAGCGTTCCCCGATAAGATGGGATGGGCCGAACACGCGAGTCCCCTTGCGACCGCAAAGGCGGGTTAAGGTAATTAACTTGTAGAGTGTTTCCCGGCACTCTCCATCCCGGGCAGGTTGTTGAATTCCAGGCCCCCCCTGCTAGTCTCGACTTGTTTTCCATTACCTCCGGCTTCCATGGGACCTGCAGGGGCACCTGGAACACAGGTTCCCCGAAGAATGTCCGAGCTAGCGACATGGCTGATGCCGTCACCCCAATGAAACCCCACTGCCCCGAGAAGGCAAGCTTGACGAGCCTCTGTTTCGTTAAAAAGGAGGAAGGATCTCCATCGATGAGATCAGCCGACCAATTCAATTCCCATCCGCCCTTCTCGTGCATCACCCCGAAAAGCCAAAGGAGAGATAGAGTTCTACCCGGCACCCGCCATTGGGCAGGAGAGTCGAATTAGCGGCGGGCCAAAGCCAAGTGCCGCTTGTTTGACCGGACGGGCGGCTTCCATGGGATCTCGAGGATCTCGTGGATCGCAGCATCCCCAAAGAATTGCCGACCGGCGGCTCTCACGTGTTACCCCACTGACCCACCAATGCCCCGCGTGGCACTGACGCCCGGAGTCTCCCTAAACATGGCGACGGACTCCAAATATAACCCCCGCCACTTCAGGGACGAGCCGCTTTTCTTGTGGACACTTTGAAGTTTCAAACAAGAGCTGGAGAGCCATTCAACGCCTGCTATCTCCCATAGACCGAGGTGCAACGGCCAAAACCAACCCCGCCGATCTTTGGATACACACACTTGACAGCTCCCATCACCATGGCGTCCGGACTACCATCGAATCCACCCAAGAGGATCTACCTGGCGCGTATAGCCTATGTGTGGTACAGATATGCCGACATCGAAAAGGCCAAACAGTTCGCCCTCGACTTCGGTTTTGTAGAGACCGCCCAGATTGGCAACACAACATTCTACCGGGGGTATGGCACCGAACCTTTCGTCCTCGCCGCCGAGGCATCGGACAAGGACGAGTTCGGTGGGGCGGCATT